GTCCTCTTGTCAATACAGTTAAAATTTATAAATTTAAAGCCCAAATCTTTTCATTTCAGAGAAAATGCCTGCAAGCTAGTTAGGCACAATGTTAACTATACAAGCAAGGACTGTTTATGTCGCCTCTCCTTGCTTTTGACTCAGCTCTGCAGCCTCCCACCACCAGTTCAATGTTTTTCGCAAAGCCTGTCATCCTTTCAGCTCCTTTCATCCAAACAACAATAAACACGTTTGCTGGGGGCTCTTGCATAACTGCAAACAACGCAAGCTGTGGTGCAGACTTCAAAGGGGGAAGGAAGACCTTAGGCCATTGGAGAGGCATAACATTTTCACTAGAGAGATGGGTACGATGTTGTCACGCCCTTTCTGTGCCTGCTTTGGATAATAACTGAAAATTAGAGATGGGAAATTTAAGGGTGGTTTGGGTTCATTCAAACATTGTTTGGCTTTTCTGAAATCCAAGTGTTATTGCCTGGCTATGTTAGCAAAAAGCCAAAGCTGAGAGGTGGAGGGGGGAAGGCAAGAGAGAGAGAACAACGGACTAAATCCCCTTTCTATCCTGCCCTAACCCCAGTCTCCTTCTTCCATGCTACCTACCTTCTCTACAGGTAATACAGACCACTCCATGATATGGTCCACACTTCAACAAGATCTGCTCTGCCATGCTTTCCCTCTTCTTTTATCTAATCCCTTTTTTAAGCACACCTTTCACAAAGGCTTGAGTCCTCTCCTCAAGCAAGAACAAAGCAGGTGGTACAATCAGACCATAAGCTACGAAAATAGCACCTTAGGGCATTTATACACATGCTCTGGGAGTTGGGGAGGGGAGAGCTTTAATTAGAGTGGCTCCGAGAGCTGATTTAATTAAAATGCCCACAGCGTCTCATGTATCAGCGTCCCCACACTTAAAAATGGTGGCTGGGGGCACTTTATCTAAAGCTTGTCGAACAAGCTTCAGATAAAGTGCCCCCGTCACCATTTTTAAGTGCAGGGACACTGACACACGAGATGCTGGCACTGACACACGAGATCCAGTTAACCAGGTCTGCTTTGCTGTAATTACAACACATCAAAGCACCCTTGCTGCTCGTGTATAGGCACCCTTAATGCTCAATTGTCTTTCTTCATCTGTTCAAGATCAGATTTTCAGAGGTGTACAGCACACACACAAGAGGCTGGATTTTCAAAACTGCTCAAAATTCTGTAGAATTGGTTAAAACACATGAGCAGATTTGCAACAGTGCCCAACAGCCAGTGGCTTGCACTAAATCTGTCCATTACATTTTAATCTCAACGAGGCAGGGACTTTATTTCCCCGTTTGTCTGTGGTGTCTTCCCTACTTTTAGTTTTACATCAATAGCAAATAACAAAGATAACCAATGTTTCTGGGTCTAACCCACCTTAACTAAGGAAATGCTTACTAAAAAAACTAATCTAAACTAAACTTAAAAAATTTTTTTTAAAAAATCAATAAATAATTTAAAACACCCCTCCCTTTTTTATGAGTAGAAGAACCTTTTAAAGAGAGATGCTTTTTCTTTCTTGTTCCACCACTGGAGGGCAACCTGAAAAAGTAAATGAGAAGACTACATCCTGACCACTGTTACACTCCTATGACAGACAAGCAAGAAGGTTACATTACTGAGGGGTGTCTTGCATTGGGAAGTTGAAAAGAAAGAAAAAGTAGTATGAACAAAAGACCCACCTGCCTCACAAACAGTGAGAAACAGCTTGAGGGGACCTTGTATTCCTTAGAAAGGAAGTTACTTAGCAGATCTAATTTTTGAGGGTAGGGAAGAAACAGCATAGGAATCTATTTTTGGAACCACATTTGCTTCCTTACAAATCCACTTTTAATACTAAAATCACAGCAGATCATCAATGTGTATATCACCAGAGACTGAAGGCTGGATTTTGATATTTTTTCATTCTTATTTACACAAAGCCATTTTGAATCATTCTGGTAGTGTAACGGCACCTAGATTACATCCAAACTCACTGCAAGTTCCCTTCATATGGCTGGAGACGTCCAAAAGGGCATTATTGTACGAGAATCAGCAGAGACTTACGCTGCAAGCACCCCAAGTCGCCTGGCTTTCAGTAGGAGCATTCAAGAATAGTAGAATATGAAGATAAACCTACAACTAGAACCATAATGCTAAAAACTAGGCAAAGATGTGCCTGAGGCCTGAGCTCTGCAGGTGGGTAGCATTCTCTGAGAGCCCAGGGAAGAAGCCTAGCAAAGAGAGCCAGGACTCCTCCGGGGTCTGGACAGCAGTGTGTCATTCCCTGTATTCCTTTGCAATCCTAACTCTGCCTTCAGAATACAAAACCCATCCCTTTATCAGTGGGAAATATTAAGTCAGTCATTAATCTTTCTCTATAAAAGCATTCAAAATATCTTTTCTGACTGATAAGGAGGCTCACTTTCACTGCCAGCCAGAGCTCCCCATAGTTGAGGCTCCTCATATGGTTTCCTAGTAATCTGGCTTGACATTGTGTGCATTCCTGCTTAAACAAACGAATACAAAAAAAAATCAGGACAGCAAGAACTTTACAGAGGAGGCTGCCAAAATTAAGATCTGTGCATGCCAAGACATGCTTCGGAAAGAGAGATGGTCATCTAGTAAAAACTGATTCAGAGGCTCTCCTGCCTGCTACCACACACAACACTATAAACATGACTCGCTACCTGCAGGCGTGGCAGAAAGGCTACAAAATGCAGCAATATTAAAGAGCAAAGGCATGTTTTCAGGAAAACAATTTGTTTTAATTGCTCCAGCCATATGTGGCTCAGGGATGAGCACGCTGCCAGCTCTCAAAGGGCTGCAATAGCATATCAATTAGAGATAAGCAAGGGGAATTTACAATTCATGGTCTACAAAATGAACTTGGTCTTGCTAATGGGATGTCTGAGAACAGATCAAAATGTCCTGACATGTCTTGATTATTTGCATTTCCCAGCCAACTTCTTTGTGAGCTTAGTTTTTACTGTATTAAACAATGAAGAACAGTTTAGTGTATTTGATAGTTGACCATCTCTAATTCAAGCTCTGCTGTGATTACTGATTAGCCACACAAGTTATACAAATATTCGTTCTGTTTCCTTATTAGTTCTCATTATCAAGAGATGGACTTGTGGAATCCATTAGGTTTTTCGGGCTGGGTTGAAGCTGTGGAATTTCATCAGTCACAGACATGGCATGAACTGAAATACCGTAGAGTTCAAAGTAGACATCTCTGTCTGGTGCAAGCAGAATACCTTTTATGTACACACACACACCTCAGACAGCTGTTTCCCAGCCGGTGTAGCAGAAAGCCCCCTTTGTACATTTCCCTTCTGGACACTGACAAAAAAGAAGCCCTTTCTTGCCTGCGCCCCCATTTTGTGCATTTCTTTTTCCTTCTAAGTACCGGCAGAGATCTAGCACACTCATTGAATGGGTGCGACAAGGCTCAGAGCAAGCCAGAAAGCTCAAGTGGCTTTCTGGAGGAGAAACCTACAAACTACATTTACATATCAATTAATCTTAGTGTCACTAAAGAAAACAAAAGACCTAAAATATTCACTTCAAAGACTGTAAATATATCCTGGTGCTAACCTAACTCACTTACTGTCCCTGGTAGCCTTTGATCCTCACTACCTCACATTGCGTTTTCACACATTTCTCACAGTGCATTTTTATATTTCATCTGTCTCATTTTTACCATGGCATTTTGTATTTTATATTTTATACTTTTAAACCCTTAAGGAATGTATTCCCTGTAAAATGAAGTTAAACCCTGGACCATTGTTAAAAACTGCATTGAAACTGTAATTGTAAAGTGATAAAATCTGCTATACTGGGCAGTCCCTTGAGTGAATGCGAATGTATGATGATTCAGTAGATACCTGAACACAAGGCAAGAGCCTCTGGCTGTTAACGGACAATAACCGAACGAGAGGAACTTAGCATTACAAAACTCAACTCTACAAGCCATTTTAGGCTAATCAAGCCAAGGAACTGATTCCTGGAACTGAGCACGCACCCTATTGACTATTCCTGTATCCCATAACAATACAGCCATTAAATCAATAAGTCAAGAGTGGATTCCTGCTTCAGGTACCAGCAGGCAGAGACCCCTGTGACTAACAGCTGTCATGTACTCCTCAAAACCCACCATGACAGCGATCCCTGGACTGGACAGCCAAGAAGTTGCTGGGGATCACACAAGCCTTCCAGAAAGGGATAAAAGGCAGTGAAGCATGACCCTCAGTGGCTCCCTCTCATCCAGCATCTGATCTACCAAGACAGAAGGACAAGAAGGCAACCCCCTTCTGGACAAGACATCGCCTTGAAGGAAGCTGACCATTGACAGCAGATACCAGGGCCTCAGATAGGTAGATATACTGACACCAGTGCTCTCACAATCACTACAGCAGCTACTATACACTGTACTATGTGGGTTTGTGTGACATGGGTTTGAATGAGTGAGTGCATGTGTGGGTGTGTGTGTGCATGCACGCTACAGTGACTAGTAACACTCATAACTCAAAGTCTACATTTGTAAGTTTATTGGTAACTTCACATCCCATCCAATAAATTAGAATTTATGATGATCCCACGAGTTGGTCCTTTGTTGCCAACACCTGCATTCCTCACAAATCCATTTTAATCCTGTTGAATAGTGCCACTTAATGTAAGCGCTTGGTACAACTAATGGGTTTTAAAGTACAACTGTCCGTACTATTAATCTTGCAAACAATGGACCAGAATCTCAACTGATGTAAATCAGCATCCCTCTGTTGGTAATAACATGGCTATACTAGTCTGTACCAGCTCAAGGTGAGGTCTGCTATGACGTGTTTTAAAATAAAAACTAGTTTGTGCACTAAATCTTTTAAGCTCAATTAAGTTTCAGTTGACCAATACCTCACATTGCCATGGTTTAAAAATGAGCTCATGACCAAGAAGGACCATAGTTTAGAAGCATACAATAAAACGTCATTTAAACCCACCTGGACAGTGGCGAAAACAGACTCAGGCACTTGATACTTCAACTCGTTGGCAGTTTGCTGAGATTTTGGCAACAGGAATGGGTAGGAGAGGGATCTATATTTGGGCTTCATGATCTTTACAAGAAAAAATACATACAAATAAAACAATATTTTAGAACCTGCTTTTCTTCTGAGTTTTACATTAGATACTTTTATTGTATTCACATCCTTCTCATAATACAGAAAATTGTGTGGAAAACTTCTTTAAGAATCGTGTGAGAATCACAGTGCATACCAAAAGTCTTCACTCCAACTTTGAACAGTCTTGAAGATACCCATGAAAACTGTACTCTTCTGTGCCTTTGCCTTGGAGAGAAACAAGCTTTCTGTTGGCCCCAGGCTCCTGTATCATCCTTGAGTATCTTCATTAACAAGGTTAATGAAGCCTTCACTCTCCAGTGGTGAGGACCATAAACCTGTGTCAGTGGTGATCGGACCCCCGAGTGGTGTGGGCTAGCCGTTGGACTGCCAATGATGGGACTTTCACAGCTCAGCGTTCCTCTAAGGATTGGATCTTTACTGGATCCAACAGGCTCTTCACTGACAGATTTCCCTGGCCCTTGGCCTTGGGGATCCAGGTCACAACTACTTTGCCCTGTTTACTCCATCTCCCTGATATACCAGTGGTCTGATTCCCCTGATCTTCTCTGGGTATATTTACTGATCCCCTCCCTGTCCCTGATTGCTGTTTCACAGGAGGACCACTGTCAAACCTACCTTTGTGAAGTTCCAGCGCTGAATAAAGTGTCGAGCGATATCCCGTGCTGCTTTGCCATGTACCACAGAGGCAATGTCATGCCATGGCATTCTTGGTGTAGTATGTCTGTCAATGAAATCTCCACAGAGAGAAAAATATGGTTATACTTCACCCCAGGGAAATACCAGGCATGAAGAATATCATAGTTTCCTCAAACTTAACCCTTCCATGAAATAAAAGCTAGGACATTTGGAGTTAAAACTGAGGAGTTCAGCTCACGGGGGCTGGATTCAAGTCCATTTAGCCATTATAGCAATAGGATACCTGGTTCTCACTTAGGAATTCTGCTGCCTTTTGCAGTTGCCGGATCAGATGGTCTCAATTCAGGAGGATAAAGTCAAAGGGACTTCTTAGGTAGTAGAGGCTTATGGAAGACGACAGGGGAGTCCCAGAGACACAAGAGTTGCTTGCAGATTGCAATGGTACTTACCAGCGAACGGCTTGTCAAGCTGAACCCAGTCTTTAAAAACAAAGTTGCAGTAGTCCTTTCCATGCCAGAATCTGGTTTCCCCAAAGAGCTCTCCAACACCGGTCTTCAAACTGCGGATCGATCCTTTATCTGTCACAAAGAAATATAGAACACATGCTATTTAGATGCCCTCAATACATCACAGATGAGACACACACTTCAAAAGGAAAGCACTGGCATAACTTGCCAGAACTGTTTTCTAGGTAAGTCTTTATGTTGGTTTCAAAGGAAAGGAAAGTCGACTGTTTCCAGTCTTCTGTTAACACTTGTGGTACAAAATCAAGCACAAATCTTGCTGCTAATTGAAACTAGAGGTTAACTCCTCTGCAAATTGTATTTAAAATTTACACTTTAATTATTTACAACTCCCCAGTATTATGAAAGGAAGACTACTTCTTTTAATATATAACCTCTGAGGAAGGTGTGCCTATATCTGTGTATAGGACTACGTTCTGACTATACAATGACTAGCCGCTACAGTACAAATAAATCCTAGTATCAACTTCCATTTTCTAGGATTCATGATTTTGGCTCCACATCAGAATAACTGGCTCCACAGTGAGTAGCTGTGTAACTGAGCCAGCACCAAATTGTACTTTCTTTTTTTTCAATGAGTCTTTATGTAACAATTTCAGTTTCTCAAGTGGTCCTCTATATTGTGCACATGGATGTTGAATTTCAGTTACGTGGCGAACACTAAAATCTTAGCATCTTTGCAATGACTTAGAAGCAAAAGTTCCCCCTGCTCCTTAGCACCTCTTTTCTAGTGCATATGGGCATATAGATTAGGAGTAGAGTGAACTCTTTTCCTTCCCCTCTCAGAAAACAGGAAATGTCACATGGGATCAAACCAGAGTCTAACTCTTGCTTTCCTGCCTCTGACAGCAGCCCTATCAAAAATGGTGCAACAATTACAGTATGCAAAAACATGTCTATAAGAAAAGTGTCTTTGCAAGCCCAGTGCTCTGTGGTTATCATCTATTCTGAAGCAGAAGGTTTGATGCTCCTTACCCATTTTGTCCTATATATGTTATTTTATTTTCATATGACCTGCCCAGGGTCATACCATAGGGATTGTTCAATGCTGTTAAACTTACAACTGGTCTCAAGGACTCAGTCAATGTCTAATCATATGATTTTTTCCTCCATCTGGGCTATGCAGTCTCCCATCTGTTCCCATTTATTTTCTCACAACTAATCTGTTTTGCACTCACCAAGTTGGAGAGATTCTGCTTCCTTGACTGTTTTAGTACCATTCTAATCCAGTTGCTGGGAAAAGACAGAGAGATTTCTCTCCCTGAGACAATGCTAGCTGGGGGATCTTCCGTGTAGTTCAGCAAAATGGTTTAGGAACTGAATCTAGTGTCTTTATTCTTCTGACCAAGCAGCCAGGCAGCCCATGACAACTTATTATAACTTCTTTTATAATTATCCAACAAAATATACAATAGCAACAATACCGTAACAATATATAAACAGGCAGCTGTTTGACACAACAGGAAGCCAGGCAAAGCCAAAATGCCATGCAACAGGTTGGCACAAATGATAATAACTGACCAGCTGCCACAGCAAAGGTACTTCCAGCTGGCAGTTCTGCATGAATTGCTAGTGAGAGACAGGTGGAGCGGGAAATCATGGGGTAGGCAAATAACAGATATGTGAATGCCGTGGAATCAGAACATGTTTTATTAACCAACTTTCTGAGATCAACATTGACTCACATGAATGAATATGAAAGTGGTGACTGTCACATCCTGCAGTGCAACATATTCACATATGAAAACAGACTCTTTATGTAGGATTTTAGCTTTTATCTTCAGCTGGCTATCTATGCATTAAATGAGTACTGACGGTGGCCAGAAAAAGAACAACGTGGTGCAGCATTAATTGCTTGCCTGAATTCCCACCCCCAGGAACATCACCTAGGATGTGATCTCTAGGATGTGTAAGATGAACCTAGATATCATGCCAGGGTTTAGGCACTTCCCAGTTCCTGAAAACTGAGGCAGCCAGTTTCAGTCAGCCACCAGCTCAAAAAAAACACAGGGAAACAGATAAGCTGTGGGTTGGGCATTGCATTTGGGCTCTGTCAGGTTACGGCAAGGTGACCAACCTTCAAAGTCCAAAGATCTCCACTGAGAAAAAAGTCCTGGTTGTCCAAACAAATCTCTTCTTAAAAAAACAACACTATGGAACTTGGGTCGCTCGGGACCTTGGGATTACCTGTCTTCTCACTGACAGCCATGTGAACCAGTAGTCATCGTTCCAACAAAGTCAAAAGAGCACCACTGATCTGAAGCTGGTGTACTTATCTCTCCCAGATATTTGTAACTAACTTCCTAAATGCTATTATTACAAAGGAACTGTTTCATCTCACAAAGCAAATGAATTAACATAGTGCAAATAAATCAAAACTGCTGCCACTTGGCGTAATTATGCTCTCACACAAAACGGTGGTAAAATTCCCACTTTCTTTAGCAGAATCACCTTCAGGCCAATGCTGAGCACTTTGGAAAATTCTATCCATCACGTGGCAGGTCAGAAGGGACCCATTAGGTCGCCTCGTCTAACCTCCTACATAACACAGACTTTGAACTGAGCCCAATACCTTTCATCTGACTAAGGAATAAAGCATAAAATAATCATTCTTTTCTGGATTAAAAACCTATACAGCTACTCCTCGCTTAATGTCATAGTTACATTCTTGAAAAATGCGACTTTAAGCGAAACAATGTTAAGCAAATCCAATTACGTCACAATAGTTACCTACTAGCAGGCAGCAGCCAAACAAGGTTATAACTGAACACTGAGTGACTTTAAATGAGTATGTTCTCTAATAGATCAGCAATGTAATAACAAAACAACGTTAACTGGGACCATGTTAAGTGAGGAATACCTGCACATGATTCCTTAGGCTTAGGGGACATGCCTAAGCCATCAATCCTTTCCCAAACAACTGTCCTCTCACCCCCACAAACAATGCAGGGGCTGACATGCTCTTGGCATCTGCCACAATCTATTCACTGCCATTCCAGAATGAGAAAAAGCAACCATAACATCTCATTTTTTTTAAAGAAGCCAAACCCCTTCTCTGCCTGCCTACCTGGAAGAAAGCAGGCCCTCTCAACAGCATACGCTACTGCCATTCCATGGACAGCAATACAGACGATGCATCCCACTCCCTTCTCAACTATGCACCGTGATTTGAGAACAATAGTGGCCAAATCTCCATTTAAATACATGGCCATGCAGCCATAAATATCACTTTCATCCTCTTTCCCAACTTGTTATGATATCACACAAACTTCAAAAAATTCAGTCCCATTTTAGCGGCATCATCAATTCCAGTGAAATGCCCTGTACTTTGCATCAAGCGTACAAAGCTGGAATAGTCATCACCTAAAACCCAAATTAACTTCTCAAAGGGCACATACTATAGCCAGTATTTTCATTTTTAACTCTAAACAGAAATAAATTATGGTGTAGCGGTGCTTTATTTACTTATTACTTATTTGTGCTCCAGATTCCTAGAGTCTTGTAAAGCGCAGTCTCTGCAGAAAGCAATTCTGCTACGTTCTCCTTACAGAAAGCAACATAAAAATTGAGGGTGTAGAATAATGATCTCAGGGCCCCACCTAACTCTCACCAGGACTGGACAGCAAATACATTAACAGCTACAGCTTCTAGACAACTCCAATTCACTTACCCTTCTCAGACTCAGCAAGCCCTTGCCTGGACTCAGTGTGGTGATGAAACATTTTCAGATGGGGTTTTAAACTCTGGATTAAATTCTGTTGACTCCTACTAGGATTGCAATAACCTGCAGAGAGTTGAAATGCTCTACTTACAGCAAAAAAGCAATTCTTTAACTACTCTGGTTACCCAAGAGTGTTTAAAATAACATGCAGCTTGAAATAACTTCAGTTCAATCAATTGCAAGCTCAGTGAACAGAAAATTAGAAAATTAGAAATGGTACAATGATCAGAGAACGAATTCCTGATTTGATTTTAGAGCAAAAATAGGCATAAATTGCTGCTGCAAAAGCACCATCTGAGCTGGCTCTGACCTTATGCAAAACATACTCCTGCACATCATTCCTGCCAAAGGCAAAAATAAGCTTTAAAGTCGGGTTTGGGAATAACAGAATCTAAACACCCCCTAATGTAAGTTCCTACCGAAAGGTTCATTTTCCACAGCTGTAGTAATGGAAGACTTGAACCCTGGGTTTTGAGTGAGCCCCCCGTCAGTGGAGACAACTATACATGAACATTACATGGTGAACATCACAGGAAATTAGACATCACATGCACAAGACCATGATAAAACGTGGTTTTTTCCATGTGTAGTTTGGGGCTGTCACATAGCCAAGTTGAAGATGTCATCTTTGTTGTGTGACAACTATTAATTAGCCAAATGCAAAAAACATTTCAACGCATTTCAAGCTTATTATGCGATGGTACAAATTAACCCATTCACTAACCCCAGTCGCTGTTCTAGCAGTTTAGGAAACTGCTGACTTTCCTTCATGCCCGTAAACAGCTCCTCTGCCCTCCCCAAGTATGTGCTCTGCAGGCAAAGTGGCAAGGCACTACTTACTTGACTCGCTGTCGATGCTGCTCACACTGTCAGAGTGATGTATGCCATGTTTATGGAGCTGCCTATAAATGCTGAACCTGGCAAACTTCCTGGCTTTTCCTATTCCTTTCAGCCGTGAGGAATCCAGGGCATCATCCAAACTTTTCTGGTTTTCCAGAGAATCAGTGAAAGGTTTTAGGGCTACAGCTTCAGTAGATTCAGCTGCAGCCTTAAAGATACAAAAGGATGACAGTGAAGCATGGAAGAGTATCCATTTAATCTTTCACAGGATTAAATTCCACCCAAACTCTGCAGACACAACTCCCATTGATTTCAATGGGAGCTGTAAATTGCAGCTTAGTGGCTTAATGAGCACTGAGTGTTCACTCAGCAGAAAACACTGTAAATAAGAACAGTATATTCTTCCATGAAGTGCCTATAAATCTATCCTGGCTTAGTGCATGTTGTCCAGAGGCTCTCCCACAGTAATCCCATTTTAATAAAAAAAAAAAAAAAAAGATCTTATCTCATTCAGTACCCTAGAGCCAGGTTTTCAAAAGATCTCATCTCTTCGGGCAACTAATAAGGGCCAGGTATCCCAAAGTCCTCTGCATCTGGCAGCTTCTACTGTGATGCTTCTTGCTAGAATTTCCAGTTTAACCCAAAATACCCAATATACTTATTTTGGTGCCTAAATGAGAGTTGAACTCTTAAAAAACTAGCTCAGTTGTTGCATTTTCTACATCACTCCCCCCATTCCTGTCCCCACACCCCAGCTCTCTAGCAGCAAACAATGTTTTCCATGAGGTCTTTTAGGTATGCTTTCTTTGGTGGCTGGTGGATTTGACTCTGATAAAGGGCTTTGTTTTGTATGCTGCAACCAGTAATCTGTGCACAACCAAGCTACAGCTCTGAACTCTAGACTTAGAGATTAAAATGACTTGTCCTTTTCCAGCTTGCATGTTGGATACAACTATAGAACCTCCTGTGTATACTGACTGAAGACTAGAGTGTACCCTTCATTAAATGTTAAGAGCAAGATATATAGATATATATATATATAGCATTTACTCTTACCGCTAGGTTCATCGTGGACTTTGTTCCTGAAATTCGCTTAACGCTGCCAACATCAGTCAGCCTGTGCTCGTCGTCATCCCACCTCCCATAGGCCAAGTCTATGCCACCAATGAACGCTATGGACTGGTCAACGATAACAAGTTTCTCATGATGGGCCCACAGGTACACTGAGGATGACACATGGTCTGGATGCCTCATCACCTGGAAAAAGAAAAATCATAAAACCCACTTGTTAGATCCTAAACAGTTTTGACAAATGTGAACCTTTGGCCACAACCACAGGGCTTTTTTCAACCCCAAGCACCTACCAATAGTTAAATACAAAGTGATCTTTTCTTTAGGATTTGTCACCACTTGAAAGTTGTAATGTTTCAACTCCACTGGTAGAGTTAAATACTACCCTCCTTGCAGGGACGTGTATGTATATTTTTGTACCAATATACCAGTTCCCATGTATGAAAGCAAGTGATTTTACTGGGATAAGCTACCTCTGCACCAGGATAGTTGCACCTATGCTAGGGCTGGAACCAGTATAACAACTAATTTAGTAAACAGTTATACCAGTGCCTCATCAGCATGGTTATTTATACCTCTCATTAGCATACACCAGTTACCCCAGTGCAACTTGGAAGTAGAGCCCAGACCTAGAAGATAATGAGTTGATGTATGTTACACATTACCTTGTTGATGGCTCTTGCAAATCAGGGTGAGAGGAGAATTATCTCATTTTATTTTTCATTTTCCAAAATGAAAGAATGTAGGAAATAGTTTCTCTACATATATTTATTTAAAAAGAACAAGTTTCAAACAGGACTGCAACAGAGGAGGAATCCAATACTTGGTAGTTTATTCTCATCATGAATCACTTTTGTAACTAAAAATATGTTCCAGCCAAATACATGACTGGGGTGGCTTATAAGAGAGATGGCTCCTCCTTGAAAAGGGTGTTGAACTAGACCTCTGATGGTTTCTTTCAACCATCATTTTCTATTCTATTTTTAATTTATCTGGGTTTAATTACCAAATATTGGTTCAAGATCTTCATTATTTTTGAGAGAGAATTCATTTTCTGTTCTGGGATCAAACAGCATATTAAATAGGATATTCTTTTAAGGCAGGAATATAAACGTTGACTCTTCACTCTATGTCTGAGCAGAAATGGAGGCATGAAGAAACAACCCTGGATTGTGACTTTTCCATTTAATGTAAATTGCCAGATAAAACAAGCTTTGTGAAAATTAGATGGATAGTTTGAACAACAGAACCCTGACAGGGGTAAGCTAAACATATTTATACAGTACTTAAGGACATTTCAGTTGCCATAGTCAGGTACTGGTTTCCCCTACTGGTGAGCAGAAGCAGAAGAGAATATGGGTTAGATTCAGTTCCACCCATAAGGTATTTAAATGGACCTAGGTGCCTAAATGCTGCTCTAGCTCACCCTGCTCCAATCCCTGAAAATCCATTCATGCATCTACTTTTGTAACAACCACTATTTTACCCTGAAGACTGAGTCACAAAAAGCAGGGTGGAGGAGGACGACCTATTCGCCTTTTGTATCAACAGCTTTTCAGGGACTTGAGCTAGGTGGAACAAAATCACAGGTACCTAAATAGACTAACATGCCTAATCCGGGGAACAGAACTGGGCCATATGTCTTCAAAGATCATTTTCCCATAGTGGCAATTGACACTATTTCTCAATAGTGTTTGAAGCAGTGTTTCATTTGTCTGTCCCCCAAATACAAAGAGTGGTGTTAGGTATAAAGAGCAATGAATATACTGGCAGTACACAAAGGTGCTACACTGTACCTTAACGTTGGGATGCAAACGCATCAGGGTCCTCTTGCTATATTCACTGTTGATTCCTAGGGCAAGTTCCACCTCTTTGTAGAGCATAACAAAAATTTTCACTCCTTGTTGCTGTCAGGAAACAAAGGATAAATGTCCGTTTAAATGGAAATCCCTATCCCCCAGTAAGGACATCCTTGGGCTTCTGGCTTCAGAAGGGGAGGGGGAGGGGGAGTAAGCATGGTGCTCTTGTGGGGAAAGCTCAGGTTGAGATTGCACATCCAGGAGGTCAGTTCCTGATTAGAAGCTTCCAGATCCAAGGCCTAATTTGCTAAGATACTTCAGCTCCCATTAACATGGATGGTGGACCCTGGCACCTTAAGGGACTGGGCTCTAACATGATTCCCTATGTGCAGTTTGGAGCCATTTTCTGTAATGATATATTGCAGACTATCTCTGTAGCTGGTTAATCTCTTTATCAGCCTTCTGGGCCACGATGCCTGAAGGCTAACTTCCCTTGCCCAATTTTGTAGGATTATGAATGAAAACCTTTGAGGTGTTGCTCTATGATACCTTTTTTTTGCAGGGATTATCTGAGTGAAAATATTGAGACAGAACCTTAACTTTTTCATGCCCAATACAGCAGAAAATATGACTTTCCCTCTCCTCTCTGTGCTAACGCAATAGTTTTCCAGCTGAACTTCCCTATGTGATGCTGTGATGGATTGAGAAGTGCCACTATAAAATGCTGTGAGAGGTCCAAAACCTGGCAGCAAGCAATTGCAAATCCACAGACACTGGCAAGGGGAACCAGGGAAGGAGTACTACTTAAAACTACTTTTAACTGATGTCTATTTAAGTGATTGGATTTCAGGTTGATAGCATTCATTTAAAGCTTTGAAAAAAAATTGTAGATGTGTTTCAGAACATGTCCTGTTGGAAAAATATTACAATACATGAATTTAACTTGCCATTTTGAGGCCCAGTTCCGGCAACCTGATTCACAGCCAGTAATACCTGAACTGCATGTGTTTACTAACATCTATGCTGCACTGGGTTGTATTTTTCTTTTAGGGACTATCTACATGTAAAAGGGTTACAGCTACCCTGATAAGAAGAAACTCTCCTCCCCCAGTAGAGACATTATTTAGCTAATACCAACAAAAGGGGTTCCTTTGTGAGGGAATCTTAAACCAGTTCCTGGAATCAAAACTGAAATGAAACAAAAGAACAAATGAAACAAAAAGATCTTTGGTCAATATAACGGCACCCATCATAGGGTTTCTCAGGGAGTAGCTATGTCAGTGTTCTGGCAAAACTTAAGTGCTGCTCAAGCCTTGGCAGAGTTTGGTCACAGCTAATGGGGAGACCCTCAGCTACTGAAAACCAGCATAGCCCCACTGCCTTTAGTAAACTTATGATGGTTTCAAAAACAAAGATACTTGTCCTTCTACATTTACTTGAAGATTCATTAAACTTCCATTTGTAGAAAGCTTCTACTAACATGTAAACCATCTCCAAACTGTGGACCATTTTGTGCACCCCAATACGCTGGCCAAGGGGAGTCTGGAGAGGCGAAGTATGCACATCAAAGTATAGCTTTGCTAAGACTGCATGCTGGGCCCACTGAGCCAACAATTTATTGATAGGCTCCAAATGAGAGAGCAGGCAAATATTTCCATGGACGTACCATGACACATTCTTAGCTCATAGCTGGCGTTTACAGCCACTGGAAAGTCTGCATTGATATGGTAAACAAAGAACAAACACTTGCAGTGGGCAAATCCTTGTGAATATGCTTTATCTGCCACAAACCAAGACAATGGTCGTTAATAAACTGTTCAGAAAAAAATATTTTTTATGCATTTTTGGATGGGGCAAGGCGAATAGTTACTGAAAGGGCTATTCTGGATGTATGGAGAGTCAAAGCCTTCCACCAAGGTTTCTAGCCGTTTCCTATATGACTGCACTCTATACTGCAGTTTTCAGTGGCCATGCCTTTCCACTGAGTCACCACTAACATCCTGTAATGCAGAAAACCACAAACCAGTATTTTCACTGGCTGAAGGAATGCAAAACTGTGGAAAACAGAGTCTAGAAGCACGGGAAATCATTGCCTTTTTTGTCCAGCTTTTTCAGAAACAAAAACATTTCAAAACTGCACTAAAGTACAGGCCATGTCAGCAGCAGTTATATAAATGGTTCAGGCACGGAAACAATGAGAGCCAGGGATGGAAGGACAGACATAGAGTGTAAATGAGAATGAGAGAGAGAAATCAAATAGTAAAGTCTTAACTATGCAAATGGGGGAAGATCCAAGATTTAGCAAAAGGGGAAGTGAGAGCAGTCACTTGTGCTGCAGGGAGGGCTGTACCCTGGCTCCCAGCCTCCTCCCCACCACCTGTGCTGTGGGAACCTCTGGGGACATTTTAAAGTCCTCAGAGCACCTAAAAATCCTCTCCTCTGCTCCCCTCCATGCTCAGAGCTACCTCCTCGCCCCTACCCTTCCCCTGCTCACCACTCCTGCTTTCCCTGCTCTCCCAGAACTGTTCCTGCCCACTCCAGCAGGGCTGTGAAGGGGCTGGGCTCAGCTGGGACCATGATAGTGGCGATGGGTAGGTTCCCCTGACCTGCCTGGTCCCCACCCATCACCACTGTGTCTGCCGCTGTCCCAGCTGAGCCAAGCTACTGCGCAGCCTGGCTGGAGCAGCTCTGAAGTTTCCCCACCTGCTCAACAGCAGCGAAAGCAGCAGCAGCAGCAGGTAGGGAAGGTAGGAAGCGGACAGGGGATGCGTCTCTGAGTACAGAGGGAAAGGGAGGGGATTCTTGCCTATTTGAGGACTTTAAAAACAGTCCCCAGAGGCTCCCAGTCAAAAAGTGTTGTGCAGGTACATTACTGCACCCCCTCTGGATCCACCCCTGTATGCAGAACTACCAGAGACGTGCATTTTACTGTGGCCCTTGACACAAGCATTTGCCCACTCTGAGCCAGTTAAGTCTCTGAGTCATGTTGATTACTATGCTGTCTGCAAGTTACACATTCCCATCCAACTCCAGTTAACAAGTTTTCACTTGATGGAGTTCTGCACAGATCACCAAATTATTTTTAAAAAGGCTGTTCACTTTAATGACCTTACTTTAACATCCTGCTCCTCCCCACATTTTCCACAGTATGGAACAGCAGGTCAGGAGCTCCTCCTCACAGCTAACATCTTCTCATAAGCAGAGTCATAATTAGGTATAAAATAAGATAAATGAGGAATGAAGGGCCAATCAAGGACTTCCATCTAAAACGGCTCTGAGCAGGACATAGGTGGGGCTGGATTGGGAAATGATAAAACAGAAAATCTTGCGTAGACAAACACTTCCTTACTTTTTTGGGGGAAATTCCATGCTCAGCTGCTCACTGACCTTGTGTGTGGATTTAAAATGTTTAAGTACAAACCAGAAAAAGAACACACTTAGCATATGCCAATAATATAAATGGACCCCTCTGACTTAGAAATAATTTATGGATACTCCTGAATAATTCTGGTAATAAGATCCTTATCTCCTTGGAAGATTGATAGCACCATTAGCAATTTAATAATGCTCTCTTTTGGAAGTAGGTGCATGTATCATAATTTAAGGCAATAATGTGAATGGAAGGGCACTGACACCATATCATTGCCCCCAGGAAATGGTTTGCACCATTGGCCAAAGGCAGCCCATATGTAACTCCAGTGACTAGAGAGCAGTATGGTTCAATGTCTCTAAATCATGAACAGCTTTTAAGGACAGAGCAGGGGTGGCGAACAGGAAGAACCAGCTACAGAGAATTCATGGGAAAGAAGAAACAGCTCCTGTCTCAGGAATGGGGGTCTAGTTTGGGAGTCTGGAAAGTGGTATCAGTGCTCTGTCCCCTGGCCTTCCTGAAATGCCTCAGCTGGAGGCAGAGACAACTGAAGAAAGCAGGGAATACAACCCATCTCTTGGCAAGTGCTGGCAGGATAAGGTGAAGAGCTGAAGGTCACTCAGTGGATGATTGCTGGCCCCAACCCATAGCTCCAAGTTTCTCATTCCTGCTGCTGCTGCTGCTTCTGCAAACCTGATGGCAGGCCCTATGCTCCCCTGGCTTTGCCCTGCAACCCTACAGCTTTGCTCTGCTGCTGGGGGAATAGGAAAAAGAGGAAAAATTGAGGCTTGCTGCTCCACCCAAATTATCTTCTACTTTGAAAAATGGGGACCTGAACCAGTGAGAAGGCACAGTCTGCTTACTGCTTTCCGCTTCAAAATGCAGTCTAGTCTCCAGCGATTTCCTTCTACCACAGGTCGTTTCATAAAGATTTCTGGGCTCAGCCTAAAAAAGTAAAGAGGAAAAATAAAGCCCGTCATGTGCTGGGTTAACAACATTTCAGGTCTAATAATCAATTCCAATAATGAAAGAAAAACTAAATGAGTTTTTGTGGGAGGTGAGGAGTGAATTCCAGTCTCCCAGAATGATTCCTTTTTTCCATGCACTCTTATTCTTTGGTTTTTAACAACTGTGCCAAGCAGGTGACATGCCCCATACATAGCATGGACGGAGCAGCCAGTGGGACGTTGCATGCAACATCTAGGGGGGCAAACCTGAGCCATGACACAAAGTGGAGAAGCTTGGACTTCATACTTGAAACAGTAAGTTCTTGTAGTAATACAGAATATTGTACCACTGGTAGAACTGACAGTGATATGGAGATTAAAAGACAACCCCTAAGGATTTTGGTTCATTTGACACCTGAACTACGTGAAGATTATAAGACCTGTGCTGAATTTTGCTTGCTAGCTACACAAAAAGCAGCAATCATGGATTCACAGGGCAGAACGGATGATATTGGGTCATCCACAGTCTGAGTGCCCATATAGCAAGGCAACCATATATCACCTATTTTCTTCTGTATCAAGCCTAATAACTTGAGTTTGACTATAGCAAACTAGTACAACCTGAAAACATGCTTATGATAGAAGCATTTCTTTGAGCTTTCATAACTTTTGTGTAAGCTTTGCAATTCCAAGACATATGGAGAACTCAATGTTGCCTTACATAAAGATTTTAGCTAGGAGATAAATGATATCTCTACATCATTATCTGATATTACACATGCAATAACAGTTTATTTATGATCCTTTTAGGGTGCAGGCTCATTTTAGTGAGGGTTGATGTAATACCTGGCTTTTCTACAGGTCTTTCCACCAAAGAACCTCCAAGAGCTTTACAGAGATTCCTGAATTAAGCCTCTCTTACTCCTGAAAGTTAGATGAATACTAATGGGCCCATTTTACAGATTAAATGCAAAGACACTAAGTAACTTTCCCAAGGTCATGCAACACTTAAAAGCAAACTTTGGGTGAGTACAGAAGTTGCTTTTTTATCACTAGAAGCACTTTATTGCTGTGACTTAATACAGGTGCATGGCTTTACAGCACTTAAAACTGGGTAGAACGCTTTAAATTAACCCTCGTTAAATGAGGTATTGAATATGAAGCAGTGTATTTCAGAACACTTTAGCAGTCTAGAGCACTTTAAATAACTTGTGTACACTGGTCAAATTTCTGACCAGTGGAGCAGCCCCAGCCTCCTAGCCTGGAAAGGGCAGGGAGCCTCAGAGGTCCCCATACCAAATGCTGCACTTCTGTCATGTTTAAGAGAGCTATAGCTTCATAGTGCTATAAAAAATGCTCTAAATTATAGCACTGTAAAATGTGCATGGAGCACTGCTGTACACACCCTTCCTGATTTTGTCTGTGGTTCCGGACATATCCTGCTTATAGAGAACTAAATCCATGACAAGATATAGCATCTGGAGATAGGTCAGAACTGGGCAAGTCCAGAACATGGGCTCCAACAGTAAGCCTGGCAGAGCAAGGAACAATACCTGCTCAATTAATAGCTTAGGGCTGAATCTCACCTACCTCTTAGACACGCAAGCACTGTGCGGGAGGACATAAGGAACTTGTTCCTCCATTGTCTGGCCCCACGGAAGCTGAGCATAAATGCTTCTGTGAATCACTCCCCTCAGGTACATCTGGTTCCCCATGAGGGTGAGGAGAAGGTAGGGTGTGGGCCATGCAGTGTATGAGTTGTATACTTCAATGCCTTTGGGATGGACAATGCATTAGGAGATACCCTGCCCCCTTGAGATACTCCCTTGCTGCATGGGCTTGTATGCTCCATTGTGGCAGTGCAATACATACTGCTTTCAAACTAGGTGGTGCTTCAATGCATGATACAGTTCTTCAAGGTTATTTCTTAGGAGACACCAAAACTGATGATTTGAAGCATGCATTTTTGGGGCCAAGTGTTCTAAAAAGGCCTCTAAATGAAAACCCTCCTTGTGAGACTCTAAGATGTGCTGCCAAACCATCTGGCTGCACAGCTAGCTTCCATACTGGACGGCCTTTGAACATTGTGGCATTGTCTTGCACGTTCTAACAGAGATGCCTGGTAAGAATCCAAACGAAAGAAATACAAACCACCAATCTGTGATGAAAATTTCTTCTTTAGCTGCCTCCATTGCATTAGCAACATCTTCAAAGTACCACTTTGCATTTACATACCTGTAAAGCAAACACAGCATTTGGAGAAGTCACAGATGGAGAATTTTCAGCCTTCTAAACTGGAAGTGAAAAAGCTCTTTGAATTCTCTCCCCAAAGCAAAATCAACTTTAAAGTTCACACACCTGGCCAACACATGAGGAAAGCTTGACATCACTTACTACTGTCATGAACCCAGTATGATATGATAATGTTCTGCAACTAAGTCTCTCTCATCCCGGTTTTTTTTTTTTTTTAAATGTCTGAGCTCATTTTGAATTTTGAAAGAGATGACACTGAATTGTTCATTTTGGGCCATACAAGGTTTTGGCACAGAGGCAGTTTCAGGAACTCCAAAACAGTATGAACAACAAGTGAGCTTGCTTTCTGTAATGGTTTCTGACTGAGTTAATTTTTGAGACAAAGCTACATCTGGGAAACAGGCCAGAAGTACTAGGCTGGGATACTGGAAAGAAGAACTGTCCTGCATGTTATCTGACTAGCTCATTTCAGGACAGGTCAGCAAAGCAAGTTGTATTTAAAATATACCCGACTCCACATCACTGATTCTCCTCCACTAAGAAGACAAGCTATAAAGCCTCAGATGAAGCAGAAGAGTGACAATGGTGTCAGAACCAGACAGTAAGGGCCCCTCTACGCATGCAGGTAAAGGCTCAATGGGATCTAATGCATGATCCACACAATTATGCCTCCTCCTCCTGCCCTCAGCTGATGGGGCTCCCAGCCACAGGGGCTCTCCACGTACCCCCATAGCTGGGAGACCAGCTGGTGCAATATCCCAGCTGGGGGGATATACCACACACCTCCAAGGCTGGGAGACTGTAGCAGCTGCAGTCTCCTAGTTGCGGGGGGCCATGGGGTACCCCTGTGGCTGGGATCCTTGTCAGGTGATGGGGCTCCCAGATGCAGGGGCATCTACTCCTGTGGCTGAGAGCCAGTATTAGCTGTAAGCTCCCAGGCTTTGTGGTTCACATGGGCCCCCATAGGTGGGAGCTCCAATTAACTGAAGGGTCTCCCAGCTACAAGGGCAAGGGCTACATGTACAAATTACTGGTGGATAAAAACCATCTATACAATTATTACACATTTTCCAGCAATAACTTTTTAGCTTATTGGACATTTTTAAGGTGCCTCAGTTAAATTTGCAAATGTAGCCAGTCTAAATTAATTGTGCAGTTAACCAGGTAATTGCATAATATATGTGAGGTGTAGAGGAGGCCTAAAGATAGGGAATGCAACACTGCAATGCGCAGTTAGGATTGGATCCTGTAAGCCACTGATGCTGTGTGTAATGTTTACTTCTGTTATTTCAGGGACTATGCCACTTCGTGTGTGCATGCAAGACAGGAGGCAGCAGCACATGCCCAAGTCAGCACAGCTGCTTGATGGAGAGGCTATGGGAACGGACGAGACAAGAACCATAGGCTGAAGTGTTCAACAGCACTGAATTCACTTAGGAGCCTAAGACTTACACCCTCGGGGCCTAAACTTCTACGTGCATTTGAACATTTTCTTGAAACCCACAGTCAAAGTAACAAGTGGTTAGCAACTTCTAAATTAAGGAGCCATTTCTATCCTTCAACTGGCATCAGACAAATATGACTTACTTGTGCATCAAGACATCATTTTTATTCTTAAAGCAATATCTGATATGTGGGTCAAAAATCCAAAAAAATTCTGTCCACAATGCAAATTTATGCAGATTAGGCAAAAAAGCTCTGATACTTCTATAGAAATCAACACTATCTATTGTCAGTGAATTAAAACACCTATATTATTTAAGCTTCAATGATAGATCAATAAGGCCAAGTGCCTGTTCCTATTAAAGCTTACCACTTTGCCAAAGTTCTCTCTCGCACAGCTGCATAAGACCCAAATCTGTGATCTTTCAGAAAGTTTTGGCCATTTTTCTGGATGAACTCCTCTATTCCCTGTCCCCACCATCGGGCATGTCTATAGCTGTTACACTTCAAAATCAATGACCTAGAAAATAACCAAAGGATGGAATGAATACATTGCATACATTTTGTTAGCAATGTTAGAAAATGATAATATATGAATTCAAGATCGATAACATCTAATCAAATGTGAAAAGTAGCCAGCTCTGGAGTCTATGGGATGTTGTCTTTTGTAAAAAATATTTCAGCTCCTAAATACAGTGATGACTGACAATCTGTAAATATAATAGATATTTATTGCACACATTGTGTATCCTAGATCAGTCCCTTCCCTCATACTGGTGCATGCCTCTGATTTAAATGGAAGAGCACCAGTGTAACTTGGAGCAGAACCTGGCAGCACAAATGCTAGACTTTTAAGAAAAAAAATGTATTTTCTGTTCTAACATGTCACAATAAAGCATAACCCCCCTATACTCTATTCTAACTGGCATGTCTTTTATTGTGTAATTCTGTATGTGGCTTAAAGCAACATGTTCCCTTTTGCATTATAAAAGAACAGAAATGGGAGGAGGGAGGGGGAAGGGGGGAACTACTGGAACAAGTTACTATAAAAAAGTAGTGTGTAAGTTAATATGCATCATGCCCTCCAGTCATGAGAAATCTGTAAGGAGTGTATGGCAGTGGCTGTACTTAAAAACATTGAATTAAAACATTTAAAAGAACTCCTAAATAGTGGTTTTCCAACTCAGTGCTGCAGAGACTCAGCTGGTGTAAAGGGGCAGAGCTCCACCGGCTTCACCTCATTCTCATCAGCTGAGGATCTGCTCCCCGGAGCCAGAGTCTTCTCCCCACACAACAGGGTGTCAGGGCTCCTCTGGTGACTCTTCCCAATATGAAGAAGTAGGATCCTGAAGGAAGACCCTAGCTGGCTTCTGCTCATTTGCTATGAAAACAGTGAATTTCTAACATCCCCTGGGTAGAAGGAAAGTGGCTCTTTTGTTCAAAGGAATCTAAGTTTTAAAGTAAAAAACTAGAAAAACAGTCTTAACATCCACATGTCTCACCTAGAGAGGTTGTCAATCCGCAATCCATATTTAGTTTCAGTCTCTTTCTTACCAATCTTAATTTTGAATTCTTTATCTACCAGGAGGACAAAAGCAATGGCTCCAGAATCTGGCTTCATGTACAGTAGGAAAGAGTCCTTCACAACTAACCACCTAGAGAGGGAGAGAACACATTTGCCCCGGTTTCACTCAGGTCATTCTTCAAAAGTATGAGCTATCAAATAAGACAATGTGAGCAGTGCTCCCTGCAGGGGAACCCTAAACAATTCACTAGGGCCTGAAATAGGTAAGAGGCAGAAGGTAACCTATAAGGCGAAGCTGCTTAACTCCAGTTGTGTTTGGAAGATTGTTGAGAAATCAGGAGCCTTATTCGTATCCCAACTTAAAAACCTGAGCAACTCCACCTAAGACAGCGGAGTTGCACCACTGTAAAACAAATGAAAGCAAAGGAAGAATCAGCCTCAAGGTCAGTGATTCCAGCAACAGGTAGTATGCAAAATCCCTCACCTGGATACTCACACCACCAGCCTTCTTTAAGTGAGAGGAAGGACGCTCCAGTGATTTGGGCACTCATTTGGCACTTTGGAAATCGGTATTCAATTTCCTGCTGTGCCAAAGACATGATGTGTAATTCTAAGTAAGTCACTTCCTCTGTGCCTCAGGATCCCATCTGTAGGATGGAGCCATAGCACCACCCTACCTCAGAGGCATGGTATTAGGTTAAATGCATTAAACATGGCGAGGTTCAATTACTGCAGTAATAAGAGCCCTAGAAGCATCTAAGCAGGCAGAAAAACAGGAATGCTCCTTTTAGGCATTTGGACAATGATGATATATGAACATCCAAATCCAAGAAAAAGACACACCATTTGAATTAAAGTCAGGTTCTCTATGACAACTTCTGGTTAAAGCCTTTCAAAATTTAAGCTTTAGAGTCTAATAAAATAAATGAGAATGTATGTGCTGACCACTGAGGACTTCCGGAGAAGTGGATGAATAATAGATAAGGCAGAGCAAAGAGTTCCTTCCTCTAAAAATATTATGTTAATACCCTGCAATATCTGCAGGCATGTGGGAGCAATGGTCTAATCTGAATCTTTAATGTGTATAAAAGCAGATTCATTTAATTCTATTAGTGTTTTCCAAAAGGACATTTTGGAAAGTTTTCATCGGCAAGCAACAAGCATTACATTTGAAACACAGGTGATAAATGACTGGTAGGTTGTGTGAGAACTTCAGCCCTTAGCTACTCAGGAAAAAACCTTTTCCCTTTCAGTTTTAAATTATCTTACCCTGTTTGACATGCCTACCTTTTTCTCACTCTCTCACTCTTTCCTACCTCCTATAATATGCCTCCTACCTCCTAAATAAACATGGCCATAGTCACCTGCTTTATTGCATCAATATAGGGTGCAGACAAAAGTGACAATTTTCGCCAAATCTGGCCACAGAAAGCAGTCTTTGGTCATGACCAAACACAAGTGCACAGCTGCAGACAGCTTCGAAAATGGCCAGTCAGGTGAAAATCTGACCCCTCATTGCAAGAGGTATCAGATAAAAACAATTTTAAAAAGTATCATCTTCTGCAACTTGTGTCTGTGGGGTTCCCAGGCTCTTGCTGTTTTCAGAATGGGAGGGGGTGAAAGGGAGTGGAAGGAGTTAATTCTTGGGGGGTTTTAACCTCCACCCCAGAGTATGGGACAGGTGTATTGGAGCCCCCCCAAGGTGGGGGGGGGGTCTAATTCACCTGTATCACCCTTCAGCACCAGATGGGAAACCCCCAAAACAACCTCCCTACTCTGCCTTTCCTTCCCCTCCCATTCTGAAAACAGTGAGCACTGGCAGAGAGCAGTATCCATTGCCCACAGCTAGATTCCCCTCTCCGCTGGAACCAACAGTGAACTTCTGTTTGGTCCGGGATAACATTGTAACTCAGAGTACTTTGCAGAACATGGTCTGAGTTACAGCTGGGAGCTGCACATCTGTCTGCACCCTGGAAACACTGGAAACTGGGACTGGAAGAATTTCCTGATTCACTGAGCCCAGTCTCCTGGCTAGCTGAGAAAAACCACATAACACTAAAACTGATCAAGCTCCATCTTAAAAGTAATTTGAATTTTCTTTGCTCCTACTGGTTCTTCCAGAAGGCCATTCCAGACCCTCACTGCTCTGTTAGAAACCCTCTCCTGATTTCCATCCTAAATGCATTTATGGTCAGTTTCTACCCACTTATTCTTGTCTCAGTCTTGTCCTTTAACATACATAGTTCTACATTAACTCCTTGGTGCTCACCCTCCTGACATCTTCGTGCATAGTAATCAGATCCCTGTTCAGCTGTCACTTTGTTGGGTGAAGACTGACTCTCTATGCCCCTGGCCTTCTCTGCTTGGTCTACTCCGAGTTCACCTTTTCTGAACCTGGGTGAGTAAATTGTATATAGTATTCCAGATGAGGTCTTATCAGGATATTGGGTGATAACATTAATACTTCCCCTTTCTCTGGAAACACTTCTCCTGATACATATGGGCTTTGTATAGACATTCAGTTTCTCCCGGGAAAAAGAGTAAAAATGGCCACTCCAGGAGAAAAATAAACCTGTGAACAACCAGGGTTAAATCACTCCCAAGAAAGTTTCTCCTAGGAGAAGCAATGTCTGAACATGCTGTGGCTTCTCTCAGAAGAAACATAGTCACATAATTCTCCAGCACCCACCTCCCTTGTCCAGGAGATAGTGTGTTACTGCTCCAGCAGGGAGTAGAGTGTGCCTCCTTCACATTGTACTGCAGGGAAACACAGACTGACCATAGGCAATTTGGATCAGTCTATCAGGGCTGCCCTATGCTGTTATTTGCTACTATCTGCTGTCAGGCAGACTAAGGGAGCCTGCAGAGTACACTGAGATGTGTGCACAGAATCCCACCTCCCTCCCCCCCACCCCTCCAGGCCAACTTCCTCACAGCTACAGTGTCAGCACTGCTAGCTCTCTGCTCTTCAGGGCCTCACAACTTGGATGTCTGTACATGTGGCTCTGGGTAAGTTCCTCTAGCAGGACAGCAAACCTGGGAGAGTTCTCCCAGACTATTTGCATGTATGAATGCAGTATAGGATTACATTTGCCTTTTTCATGGCCACATCATGTTGATGACTCAAGGACATCCTACAATTGACTGGCACTCCCAGGTCTGTCATTTTAAAATGAGTCATTTGAAGTTTAATATTTTCCTTTTGCATGCTCTCCACAAGCTAACCCCACCTGCTTATCATCTCTCATTCAGTAACAAACTGGAGAGTACCACCTCTGGCTAGCCCATAAGACTAAACTCTGCTCACTGGCTAATTTTTCAAACAAGCACCTTTATATTTCCTCCCATTTTACATAGGCTTCTCATTAACCTTCCTCAAAACCCTCCTTAAAACTGTCCTTTACAAGGATGCATGTAGAAAAACCTGAAAACAGACTAGTGGTGTACTAGCTTCACTGATTATCATACTGACCAACACTGTTTCATTGTTTCCTTGTTCCCCCTCTCCAGCCAGCTGTAATTTCTTGGCTTACTCTTAGCCCCACAGTTCTTTGTGACACACAATTATTATTCTGTATACATACAGTGCCTAGCATACTGGAGACCTAGTCTATGGCTGGGACTCTTAGGCTCCATCCAGATGAATGCAGCCATGCGGTATGTGGCACCACAGACCCATCCGCACATTCAGGTGTTTCCCGCATTGCTACCTTGAAGCAAAAGGGGGCGAGGGCTGACCCTGGAAATCTAGGGGCCAAAAAAACCCATGCAGAAAAAAAGCAGGGTGCTGCCCAAAACTGGAGCCTGGCCAGCCATAGCCACACTCCAGCTGCCAGCCAGCCTCCAAGCTGTAGGAGTGACATGGCTGCACCTTCTCCACCCATCAGGACCCCAGGTAAGGCCGCTCGGACCAGCACAACTGCTGGCCCCAGCCTCCCCTACCCCACCCAAGGTAACCTCCCACATCTCAGAGGGGAATCAAACATCCATGTTCATCTGGATGTGGCCTCAGATGCTGTGGCAGCAACAACAACAACAGCAGACTGTAAAATTCCTTGCCAAATTTGGAGTTTCCCTGAAAACGTATGGCCCCCATGAAAATAATGGGACACAAATCCCCTTGATCACAGGCTTTATGAGTCTCATTACACATGCAAGCACACACCAGAAGCACAGGCTTTTCAGGTGACTTGCAAACAAGCCTTTCACAAAAAGAGCCTGCTCTTTCTTTTATAGGTGTGAACACGTTCATTAAGTTTTAACGAGGTGCCATTCTCACAAGCAAGGGAAAAATATTACCAGCCAACTCACAGAACTGCTCTGCCATGTGGCAGTGCAATCCATATAATGGTTGCGCATATCCAAAGCTATGTTAACAGAAAAGCAGAATGAAAATCCCAACACACTGGGATATGTCAAATAAATCCAGTTAGAGAAACCCTTCACTTGTAGTAAAGCTGTTCTGAGAAAACAATGATTTTAGTGTAATAAGATTGGACTGTGCCTAGAACAAGAGTTCTGCATCATGTACTCAGTCTGAACTGAATCAGGGTTTTGTGATGCATTTAAGGACAGTCTGGTGTTTGTCACTCACATAAAGGAAGAGGAAAGAGCTAGGGACCATTTAACACAGCCCTTTCAACTACTTGGCACTCCAGAGTTTGGTGTGTCCACTGCTGGCGAAGAGCATGTTGCACGGAAAATCTGACTCAGGGCAATTTTAGGAGTTAAGAAGCCCTAGAGAGATGGATTGAAGAGACAGGGGAGGGAAGATGGGGGCAGGATGTGGACTGGCCTTGAAATATCTGCCAGAAAAGAAAATCCCACAGCTTCAAACTGAGCAGCTCATATTCTGAATGCAATGCTACTGAATCCTGATCTCAGACTTTGAATGGTGACTACAACGAGGAACTTTCCAATTTACTGTGTGTGCTATCCATCTGTGCTCTCATCAGGTCACTGCAAAGCATCAACATGTCTAAAAAGAGGGGTGTTGTTGGATACTCCTTTTTGTGCACCACTGACGGTTGCTTTAATCCGTGAAGGCAATAGGGTTCAACAGGCGTCGCGGGGGATGCAAGTACAGCCCAGAACCTTCATTGTGGCTTTTGGTGACCGAGGAGGAGAGAAATCCAGCCAGATTTCCAGTCATCTCTCTTTGTAACATAATTAACACTTATTTATTCATATACTAGTATATTACATTAGCGCCGAGGGCCCTTGGTGACTGGCTCCTTTTGCTAGCTTCTCTACCCACATACAGTTAAGAGAGAATTCCCACCCCAAAGAGAATACGCACACTATTTCTGTACCACGGAAAAGAAACTAGATTCATTATGGAGCTTGAACATGATGCATGTTCTCAAAGGGCCTGACCTTTGTGTGATACAATGAACTGAAACTGACGGACCAAGACGATAAGGCCAACTTTGTGGGAAACAAACCCAGGGAAGGGTTTTAAAAATAGGAATTGCTTTGAAATAAAGAAAAAATAAATGGAATAAGATCAAAACCTTTTTTAGTTGTGTAACCATTATGGAAATTTTTTATAAAATATTTTACCAATAGTACCCAATCCTAAAGGCGAGGAAGGAAGTCAGAAACACTCAACAGGAAAAGGGATTTTTTTTTTCATATATGGTAGAAATGCCATAAGAATTTAAAGCAAAAGATGAGATAGCATTTTTAGTAAGCAGAACTCATACTGTAGCAAAGAGGTCAGCCAAAAGGGAGTTACTGACTGGGAGAAGGGCACATTGATAACCTCTTCCAACCTGAATATTTGGGAATTTACAGATGCCTTTGGTTTTCATATTTTTGTAAAAGACTGGAAATCTCAGTTAGAGAAGGAAGAACAACTTAAAGCCTTGCTTGTGGGAAAAGGTGTCATTTCTGAATTTACCCTAAAAGAGAAAACTCCCTCCACAAGAATACCTTTTGGACCAGCGATAGCAGACGCTTCCTTGACCACAGCAGTTGAGACCAGGTATTCTGTGGCCCCCAGATCTTTTCATGATCATGCCTTCTCTGAAACAAATATAAGGATGGTGAAGAATTAGTGAGCTGATATTGTATGTCAAAATGTTATAAACACTTACCAAGGACTGTACATGTTCTTGACTGCATGCAATGGACCACATATATCCTAAGTGTCAACCAGTGATTCTCAACCAGCATTCTGTGTCACCCTTGGGTGCAGAGCCATCCCAGGGGTGTGCAGGGCCCGGAGCATATCAGCCTGTGCGGGGCAGGGAGGTGGCGAGCGGCCGGAGCACGAAGCGAGGGGAGGGGAAGTGGCAAGTGGCCGGAGTACGGAGCTGGCAGCGCATAGCGGCTACAGCGGGGCCCCCTAAAGCACAGGGCCCAGGGCAGTCACCCCGATTTGCACCCCCTAGGGATGACCCTGCTTGGGTGCTCTGAGATCCATTCAAGGGTACCTCAGGGTGCATGCCATGTTAGCACTGCTAGGTGTGCAAACATGATTCACAAGATAAATCCAGAGATTTCAAATAGGAATCCATAATATTAAAAACATTCTGACCTGTTGTGGCCTTTCTGAGATCTTTGTGCCAGGAAAACTGTTCTATTATTTTTCTGTAGTCAAAAATCAAGTGAACACTATGAGTTAGGGTTTTCCAAGGCGCACCTTGAGTCTAAGAAGGTTGAGAACCATTGGTATAAACTCTACTGAAGTCAGCGAACGTCTGAAACTGGCTGTGGGAGTCTTGCAATATAAGGTGCTCTGCCTTTTGCATTCTTTTCTATTTCCAAAAGATGTGACATTTCTTGGTGAACAGTAATACATATTTAACATCAAGTATAGAGGATACTCCAATTATTTGCTAGAAAGGCATGGAAACTATCATTTTAGACTGCATCTCTATGAAAAGATGCTCTTGATGAAATGCAAGTCAAAAAGATTGTCAACTTACATTCCCTTTGGCCCTAGGTCATGGATGAACGACAGCTGACTTACACCAATGAATTCCATCTGGAAAACAAAAAGGCCCAATTGTTCATGCTTCTGAAACCACAAAACAGCTTGCTTAGTAAACAACATTGATAATAAAAAAGCATATACTATCAGGGAAACATGGAAAAACCTAACAAAACACTTGCTGCCTCTTAGATCTCTCTTTAGAGTACTGAAGTCAGTAAAAGTCTTTCTACAAGCCATGGATCAGGCTTTAATGAACACAATCATGGCAGCTGAGTCAGTTTTTATGATGTGTGGTGCAGCATGAACTAAGAACCCGTTAGAAGCTTCACCTCTAGTCTGCTGGGTCAACTTCATCCCAAGTTAGTACTGTAGTTATAAATTGGCAATTTCTTGATGGGTGCCTGCCTAGTGACCTATGTGGACTGAATTGCCTTCTTTTGTTCAGTTTCTACTGGATGCGAGTCTGTATTATGCCAGGCTATTCCATACCTGACACAATACAGAAGTTAGGAAATAAATGGACATAAAGAATGAGTGTGGATAGATATAAGTTGCTAACGTAACTTGGAAATCTGATCAACTCAATGTACTATATTTAGATTTGTCAATAGATGTCAGTTCAAAAACTAACCCCCATAACACAAATGCCTAAGGCTATCAAGAAAGATTACAGTAGGATATGAAGATGAGCAGCAACAGTCTGCTTGCCATTAAGAAAGTAGTGACAATACACTCCATGCCTTCATGTAAATTTAAAGGAAGAATCTTAAGTGATTTTAACCACCCTGGCTTTTCTTAGCACAGTAAAATAGATTCTGCTTCTCTTCAGTCTCTGATCACAAAGTGAACGTGAATTAGAGCAACCTGTGTGCTTGACAGTGAGAACACAATCTGACCACCGTGATATTGAATTAAATGGGCTTCAGACACATTTTTTCATGAGGTCAACTTGCCAAAGTATATAAACACACAGAAAGGGGGGAAAAAGGAGGAAACTTTCTTGTTTAGTCAGACAACAGTAACGCAGAAAGAAGAACCGAGTTTTTTAATAAAATAGTTTGCCAGCTAGAGCTTAACAGAGTAAAGTCCAGATCTTGGAGCCACACACACAGCTGCAGCTGACCTCATCAAACCAGCAATGGAAGCTGCATGCGATCCAGGTCAGAATTCAAATCAGCAGGACTCTTTATAGCATCATTTCTCGTTTGTGAAGTCTACACTATCTTCCTCGGAGATGCACAGCTGGCAAAGGAATGCAGCCTTACCAAGGGTGTGTACAGATGTGCTCGGTACACATTTTACAGAGCTGTAATGTAGAGCACTTTTAATAGCACTCTAAAGTTACAGTACTCTTAAACATGACAGAAGTGCAGTGTTTGGTGGGAGGGCAGGAGGCTGAGGGGGGTTGTGAGCCTCCCTGCACTTTCCAGGTTAGGAGGCAGGGGGTGATCTATAGCCCCCTGGGGCTTCTGCACTGGCCAGAAATATGACCAGAATATAGAAGTTATCTGAAGTGCTGTCAGCTGCTAGAGTGCTATAAAATACAGCGCTTCAAATTTAATACTTCATTTAACAAGGGTTAATTTAAAAGTGCTATACCTATTTTTAAAGTGCTGTGTACTTCTGTTAAGTCATGGCAATAAAGCACTTTAATGGCAAAAAAACAACTTCTGTACACCCCAAAGCTTGGTAAGGGGCTACACCTTCCCCCTGGCCTGAGAAAAACCCCCCAAGCTTCAGAGCCATATTGCAAAAGGCAAGTCAGCAATTACCAATCCATGAAGAACCCAACAGATGAAACTGGTTTGACATGAGGTGGATCACAACACACCTGGGGCCTGATCCCTACTTTGAATAACAAGTAACTGTAAAAGTAGCTCCACAGTCTGATCTCAGTGGTGCTGCTGAGATGCTGTAAGACGGTATGACAAAATGTGGGTTAGGGTGGCAGATTTGGCCTCCCAGGGCTAAAATGAGCTGTTACACTTGTATGAAATAATAACAGTGTATAACTGTGTTGGACCAAGAAAAAGCCCCTGGGAAAAAGCTGCAACTCAGAGGCACGATTCCCTCCTCCCTTTGCTTTTGTCCTTGTAAAGGAGAGGGAGCAATATTTTGCTACAGCACTTTTCAAAAAACCTCTGTAAATCCAGCCAGCCCTACTGAACTACCACATTTGGAGAGTCACACACTGACCAAGACCATGCTGAAAAAGTTTGTACAAGATGGTATCTGCTTCCTGAACTGATTTCCCACTTCTTTTGTGATTTCATCGTGTTATTGTGAGGACAACAGGACAAACTGTTCCATGCTTTTATTGAACTGGGATTCATTTATTCCTTTTGTGTGTCCTAGATGAGGAATCATAGTGTCCTAGAGTTGGAAGGTAGATTGAGGGCCACCTAGTACAACTTCTTATAGAGATGTAGAACTCACGGTTCCTAAACCATCCTAGGCAGATGCCTACTCTTGAAAGCATCCAGTGAAGGAGATTCTCTGACTTTTTCAGGCAGCTTGTTCTGTTATCATACTGGTCTCACAGTTAGGAAGTTTCTCTGGAGGTTGAAACTAAATCTATGTTGCTGTTATTTAGACATTGCCTCTTTTTCTGCCCTCAGTGGTAAAGGAGAACACTTTTTCTCCCTCTTCTTCATGGCAGCTTTACAAATATTTGAAAACTCTCCCCCCTCAAGCCTCTGCTCTCCAAACTAAATAAATATTGTGCCTTCAACCTGTCCTCATACAGCCGGCGTTCCAACCTTTTTATCCTTTCTCTGCCTCTAGAACATCCCCAGCTCCTTTCTTAAAATGTTGTGTCCAGAAATGAACGTACTTCAGCTGATGCTTGAACAGCTTATGTACCATGTAAGCCTTTAATGTGAGGCTTAAAATGGGCATTAAGTAGTTTCTTAGCTCTTAAGCAAGTTTTCAGTACTGCAGAAAGTGCTGATCAGATCAACCACCCTGTGAAGAATCAGGCCTCTCAGGTTGAGCACCCAGAACTTAAGGCATACAAAATCACTTGCACCTTTTGAAAACCTTAGAAATTAGAGCAGGTTGTTATGTATAGAGCATTTAGTACTAAGAAAGGGAAAGAATAATGGTGACTACAGCACACCAGTGACACCTGGGGGGGGGCACATGCCCCCCCAGATTTCTGTGCTGACAGTGGGGCGCAGGTGTAGATATGGGGCTGCAGCCTGGCTGAAGCCACTGCCTGGCAGCAGCA